GCTCTTGCTCAGGCTGGTTTCGAACTCCTGAGCTCAAACAATCCGCCCGCCTCGGCCTCCCAGAGTGCTAGGATTACAGGCGTGAGCCACCGTGCCCAGCCTGTTAGGCATATATTTTTGATGTAAAGTCCTTGGAGGTTAATTACATGATCAGGAAAGATACTGTATCTTTTTGACCTCAATATGTTTGTTGCAACTTATTTACAAGTATAAGAAAGAGCTTCAATTTTCCATTATTAGCATAGTTACCTTATTTCTATTTAGTCTGAAGCATGTTTCTTTTTTCCAAAAGGACTGTTTTTATTTATACAGAGTCCTAACCACTTTACAGCGGTAGTAGGAGTGGGAGAGGTTCCTTTCTCAATCCAGGGGCCTCCATAATGTTGCTTTGTTGTTGCCAAACACACAGGCAAGTGGTATTATGGATTTGGTAAACTAGTAACAACGTTTAATCTCTCTCTGCTAGAGCAACAAGGTGAGCATCAATCTCTGCTTCTGTGAGAATTCTGAATTTAGGATTTTCAACTGTAACTACTCCAACTTCCGTTTCTGAAGGTTTGAAATCAACTGATAGAACAGTAGACAGGCATGTAATTGCAGTTTCTACTGTCTGTTCAAATGTCCAGTCAAATTTCTTCTTCACTTTTTTTTTTTCAAGGAAGCTGGTTGACTCAGTTTGTTTAACTCCTGTTGCAGTGGCTTTAAACCCACAGTAGTAACCTGCAGGATCACACTTGTACACCTGAGGGCCTTGTTCTTCATCTATACCAATTAAAATCATACAACAACCAAGAGGCCTCATTTCAGCATTCTGTGTGTAGACCTGAGAAATGTCAGCAATTCTTTTACACAGCATGTCCACGGGAATCTCATAGCCATATTTGTATTTCCAGTTAGCTGCCTCATAGCGTACCCTCTGTACCTGGGATCTGCTGTCAGCTGTCATTCCTGTCATCACACAGCCAATGTTTTCGGTTATCTCGAATAAGTGAGTCACTGTGCTGGAATCCAATAACTTATCGGGTACTTTCTTCTGTGTAACAATTACTGCACAGTCTTTCCCTCTGACAGCTACTGATGTAAGGCCACCCTGGTTAATAGCTTTAAAAGCATATTCTACTTGGTAGAGCCGGCCCTCGGTGAAAAAATGGTAATGTGGCGATCAAAACCGGCGCTGGAACCACGGGACATATTGGTATACCACTTCTACACAGTATCTGGGCCCCGTAGCTCCCGCACAACGCCTGAAGCACGTTTCTTAATCTCATATTCATATTCAGAAACGTATCCTAATTTATCACTTAAACATGGATGTAAAAATGTGTCTAATTAGCAATCTTTTTTTTTTTTTAAAGATATTTACTATGCAGGACCTATTGCAACTCATTAAAATCAACCCTGCCTCCAGTCTCTACAAATCACTGGTAGGATTGCTTAGTTTTTATAACCTGCTTTGGTTTGTTGATTATAACTGAACAGTTGAATAAAGGTTAAATATTTTCTTTTAACAGATTACAGGATTTGATAAAGAAAACCAAAAAGGTAGGAGCCTTTATCTTTGTAGAGAATAACAGCATTTTTGTATGTACTTTTTCCTATAAAAGTAAGAAGCTAATAATTTTTAGGGGGAAGAGTAGGAAATTTAATTTGCATTAAATCATTTGATTTTCCTTGCTGACCATACCTTCCCTTTTAAATAAACAACAGTTCATCTGTTCTGACAAATGCAGGTCATTTCCCCTAGATCTCCATTCTTTTTTTTTTTTTTTGAGACAGAGTCTCACTGTGTTGCCCAGGCTAAAGTGCCGTGGCATTAGCCTATCTCACAGCAACCTCAAACTCCTGGGCTCAAGCGATCCTCCTGCCTCAGGCTCTCGAGTAGCTGGGACTACAGGCATGTGCCACCATGCCCAGCTAATTTTTTTTTTTTATGTATATTTTTTAGTTGTCCAATTAATTTCTTTGTATTTTTTTAGTAGAGACGGGGTCTCGCTCTTGCTCAGGCTGGTTTCGAACTCCTGAGCTCAAACAATCCGCCCGTCTCGGCCTCCCAGAGAGCTAGGATTACAGGCGTGACAGATCTCCATTCTTGTATTAGCTCTTAGATACTCAAAAAAATAACTGCAGATAGTATCAAGAGCCCTACAAATAGACTGAAAGATAATCTTTGTAAAAATACCGACTGTTTGGAACACTTCTGCCCCCAAACCCCCAAAAAACTAATAACTTTTAGGCCAAATGTCTTTGTATACTAGGTATCTCCCTCAAGCACAATATATAGAGTATTAATATTTTCTTAAAGAATCAGATATCTGTTCAGTAATGTGTTATATATTTTCTTATTCTTAAGTGTTTATATAGACTTGATAAATTGTCTTAATTTTGACCTTGATGATAGCCTTTCATAGAGTCTATAACTACCATGGGTGCCTGACCATTAGTTAGACTTGATGATGGGATTTGTAGTGTGACCATAAGCTGGCAACTTGCCTTTGATGCATAGTTACTCGTTAGGTCTTTTAAATAATCTTTGGCATTATACAACAGTCCTTTTGTGTTGGTACCCTCTTGGATTTTTTCTGTTGCCAGCACTGCTGCCATCCCCACTAGGTCATTCATTCATCCTTTCATTCATTCATTCAGAACTTTTTCAGCAAAACATTTGAGACCTTTCTGCCAGCCATTAGTCTGTGACTTAATCAATTTAAAAATGAATCTAGGCACAAACCTTGTACCTTATACAAAAACTAATTCAAAGTGAACCATAGACCTAAACGTAAAATGCAAAACTATAAAACTTTTAGATGAAAGCATAGCAGAAAATCTATGTGACCTTGGGTTTTGTGGTGAGGCATAACACTAAAAGCATGATATATGATAGAAAAAAATAGATCAGTTAGGCTTTATTAAAATTAAAAGCATGTCTGTGTTAAGACACTTAAGAGAATGAAAACACAAATTACAGACTGGGAGAAGAATTTGCAAAACACGTATCTAATAAAGGACTTGTATGCACAGTATACAAAGAACTCTAAAAACTCAGTGCTAAAAAGATTACCCAACTGAAAAATGGGCAAAGGATCTGAACAGACATCTTATTAAAGAAGGTATATAGATGGCAAGTAACCATAGAAAAGATGCTCTTTATCATTTGTCATTAGGAAAATGCAAATTAAGGCAACAATGAGATACTACTACACACCTATTAGAATGGTTAACATCCAAAACACAATACCAAATGCTGGTGAGACTGTGGAGCAAGAGGAACTCTCATTCATTGCTGATGGGACTTCAAAATGGTGCCACCACTTTGGGAGACAGTTTGTAGCTTCTTATAATACATATGTAAGCAGTCTTCCCACATGATCCAGCTGTCATGCTCCCAGCTGATCTGAAAACTTTTGTCACACAGACACTTGCACATGAATGTTTTAGCAGCTTTATTCATAATTGCCACAAATTGTAAGTGACCAAGATGTCCCTCAGTAGGCGAATGGATAAATAAACTGTAGTACATCCATACAATGGAATACTGTTCATCCCACAGGAATGAGCTATCAAGCCATGCAAAAATATAAATCAATCCTAAATGCATATTGTTCATGAAAGTAGCCAGTCTGAAAAGGCTACATATTATATGATTCTGTATATATGACATTCTGAAAAGGCAAATGATGATTATAGAGATGATAATCATCAGTGGTTGCCAGGGATTTTGAGAGAAAGAGTGGGCAGGTTGAATAGGTGAAGAAGCACAGGGGATGTTTTAGGGCGGTGAGAGTATGATACTGTAATGGTGGATATGTGGCACTATATAGTTGTCAAAACCTATAGAACTTTACAGCACAAAGAATGAACCTCAATGTATGCAAATTAGGAGGTCAGGTGATCCTAGGATGGAATGCAGACTGTGACAGAACAATCCAACTCTAGTCGCCTCACCGAAGGTGGTGGGGAAAAAAGGTGCTAAGCTAACTAATCTTAGACATTTCAAGAAACCAAAAACTTGTAAAATAATTTATTCTCATGGTTTAACTACTCAAAAGGCTATGAAGTGAAAGAAAGGTAATAATTTCTGCCCATGTTCTCTAGTCTCACTCTCCACTGATAGCTAGAATTAATAGTTTCTTGTTCTTCTCGAATTTCTGTTTATGAGTATCAGTCTATGTATTTGTAATTATTAGTAACATGCACACAATCATAAATGGGATCATATAGATACTGTTTTGCAATTTTTTTATCTACCAATATCTTTCTATAGCAGTATGTTTAGACAAATTATTATTATT